GCTACTAATCGCAGTTCGGGGCTTCAAAGTACCACAGTTAGGTATGATGCAGAAATAATTGAGGGCGGGCAAAATCGGTATAATGAAGGGGGGCGGTGCATAAACGACGGAAATGTGGCGTGCCCTGCGCATTTTTTTCCGCGAGGGGGCAAAAAGGGGCAACGACGGGTATTCGCCCGCCATAGACCCTCGGTACACATCCTCTAGCCCTGTTACAGCCGCGCTATAGCCACCTCATAAGGCAGGGCCGAGAGGTAGCGAGGCGAGGCTGGTGCTGGTAGGAGTTTTAAAGCGCTTTTTAAGGGTACGACTCGTTATAGAAAGCTTTTTCGTCGACCGGGAGTATATTCGTTGCGGTCGTTCGTTGTGAATGTGCGTTTTCTCGAGAGAGAGCTTTCGTGTTTAGGTGAGTCTTAAGTGTCACCCAAACGGCCATCTACACTAAAAGGAATGCCCATGAACTCACTACTAAGAAAATATTTTGAAGAAATATCTAATCTTTAAGGTCTTGATTAACCTACCATATTGCGCGGTCGACTGAAAACACTAATATCTACGAAATATTTACCGGTATTTCGAGGCCCTGCGAAACCGGACGAACTTCGACAGCTCCGGAGAGCCACCGGTTAGTTTTAAGGATAAGAAATCCTTTTAACCCACAGCGCTTGGCATGCCCACTGTTGCATCTGCTGATTTCATTCACTGACCGGCCTGTCAACATGTTAAATTATGGCAGGGGGTGGTCACCGATCGTTCATACGGAACTCACTCGTTCCGTTGTGCCTTATGGGCTCTCTCTCGAGCCCAACCAGCAGCCGCACAGCGGCGCATGATATATAGGCAGAATGATATTACCGACAAAGACAAGGGAGACTGGAACGGCCATTTCTGGCTTATTAGCCGTTAAATTATGAAGACCTGTCTTCCTGTGACGTCCCCGCCAGTGAAATCGAGCAAAATCCTCCTTGCTCCAATCAACCGCATCTTTAACAATAGAAAAACGGAAAAATTACTGCTATTTTATGCACCAAAATCACAAGACACATGATAGGAACATTAAGCACTTTGTGCCAAACCTCATATAGCACTAATTCCTTAAGGATAATAAGTGGGATTATAAGCAAAAAGTAGTATTAATGTTACAAAGTGTATGTCCTTTTGTTTAGCCCGCTATTTGCATGGAAAAACATACTGTGCTGCCAAAACTAGGGTCTACG